GAAACCACCTGAAAAGGAGACATTCTTCAAAGGAGCACTACACACTACTTGAAAATGGACAAATTCTACTGACATAAGAGAAAATACATTATTGCAGGGCAAAGAAAGATAAACCCTTAGACCTTGTAACAGTGTTAGCCGACAGCAAACATTTGCTACATTGGAGAGTGAATTAGATCGAAGCCCTAATCACAAGACTCTGAACAACAACACACTTTGTGATGTTTTACACACTCCACACAAGTACTTTTGCCCCTGAGCGTGCCAAAATAAGGATGATTCAAGATGTTCACCCAAGTGCTCATGTCATTTTGACACAACATCCAGCCTGTAAAGCTTACACACATCATAAATGGTACAACAAATATTACATGCCAGTCACTGGAGGTAAGACAAATCCATGGAATCACGCAACCTCAGAGGCATAATGATTTTCTTATCTACTTCAAAATCACCTCAAGACATCGAACTACCACATTACCATCACATTTTTCAATAAACTGGGCAAGAGAAGAAGGAGCACAAATGAAAGTACTAGAATTCACCAGCTAACACTGACATCCCACATCACATTGCTCCTTTGGAAATACTGTGTGAGAGAGCAAAAATGGCAATTATGCCCAGTCCCTAAAGATACAGGAGACATCTTGCACCTGTCCTACTTGGGCTTTGTATATCAGCATTACTGTAAACCACAGACTGATCCCAAGTCAGCTTGTTTTATCCAAACACTGAGCTCCTTCCAAACATAGGTTTATGGTTTGGTATCACCACTGATTCAAACATCACTTGCTTGAGCACTGCACCAGAAGGAAGACTTGTCCCCTCTCATAGCCAGCTTGGAGACAGGGTCAGCTACAAAGCAGGCGGCCTGAGATGTACAGATGGCATGACAGGGAAGGTGAGAGCAGGGACCTTGTAACTACAGGTAGAGGCAAGTAGAAGCTTTAAAGCAACGCTTCCTAGGCTGCTTGCCTTCAAATCACCTACTTTGTTCCCAAAGCAAAACATCAGGGAGTTGGGATAATCCCAGAGATGAACCAGCTGTGGGTTCCCTGGTCACCTACGGTTGGGCAGATATTCCGGATGCCTGCAGCTCCAACAATGAATGCTGGTCCCTCCTGAAATCACTGACCTCTCAGAAATACCTCAATGAGGTAAAAGCAAAATTAATAATTTTGAAAAACCTTTGCTGGTCCATTTCTGTTCCAGTCAAGCACAAAACTTCCTCAAGTTGAGGCTGTGCCTGCAAGAAATGGAAGGGAGCTCACAGCATTTTAGTTTGCACTTCAGCTTCCAGCCATAAGCAAGCAGCAAACTGTACCAAACCACAGTCACTTATCTCCTGGCACAGGAACAGACTATTGGATTCTGTGGGCAGCAAACATATGGTATGGCACCATCAGTGAGCCTGACTGATCTCCCAGCCAGTGCTGCCCAGTGAGCCCACGCCTGGGAAGAAGTCTGATCTGCTGGAAATGCAAATAGATTTTCCCTTACAGTGCTGGAAAGAAGTATATTTAACTTTAGGAAGAGAGTAGTTTGTGTGTTACCATCCTTACGGTAAAAGCTCACGTTACCAAAATCTGAGTCTGGTTTTGAAAAGGGAAATAGTTGAAAGAGGACATGGTTCACTACAAAACCTGCTAGAAATATCTTCTTTCCATTTCTTTTCTCTTTTCAGTATTTTTACACTACAGAGCTCATACTAATAATCCATGTCATGGACACAACATTCAAATAAAAACACATGCAGGCTTTTACATTCATCATCATCCACATGCTACATTTCACAGTTCATTATCAGAGCAATGTACCACTCTATAAAAACATCACATTGAGGCACCTTAAATCTCCTTCATGTCTTTGTTTTCTTTTCTCTTGAACTTTCAGAAATAGCCAGATGGAACCAGCACTAACACAGGCTAAAGCCAGGTGTCCAGTATGAGTAAGAAACAGAAAGGCAGAATTGTCACATCACCTTGAACTTGCCAAAACTGGAGAAGATGAAAATGACTCTACAATATTTCAGCTGGTAACTTAGATACATAATTGTCCTCCAACATACCATATAAAAACAATAATCTAGGTCTCTAAGTAAAAACAGAAGACATTTCTATCCTATGCTCAGGGTGAAATATCAGAATTTACAGCAAACTGCACATTCAAACATCTAGCTCTTGACCTGGAAGCGGCTAAAGTGTGGCACAAAAATGCTTTGCACTGTGTTCCCTTCCACAACAAAGGAAAAAGAGTCTTGTTGCTATTTGATTGCTATAGCTGTTGCACTTGGAAGTTTCTTCTCCTTTCAAGAGTGCCCAGACACTTGCTGGCTTATCCCTCAGCTGATGTCTTGGCTTTGCTGTGGCACCAGGAGGCTGCAACGTGGAGCTCCCAGCACACAGCTCTGGTGCTGAGCTGCTCCAGACCAGGAAAGGCAGGGCAGGGGATGACATACCCATGCTCCGTGCGTTTCCAGCTAGGAAACTACTACTCAGATTGAAAACTCCTTCCCAGCAGGGTCAGCAAGGCTGGCTGTGTCTGAGCACCAGGCACCCATTGCCACATCCCAGGGAGGGAGCAGGCAGCAGGAAGCAGAGGGCAATGGCTGCTGCTCAGCCCCCACCAAGCGAGGGCCGGGGTTTGTATCCCCTTCTGCTGCCCCGCTGGATCTCCTCTTTTCTGGACTGTGAGTAAGCCCAAGGACTACCCCAAACCCCTGTGCCAGCCTGGCCCCACAGCTCAGCACGAGATACAGCCCCAGAGCATCTCCCAAAGCCCCAAGAGGTTCAGGAGCCAGAGGCTGCCCTCTGCCCCCAGCACAGGTACTCAGCACAAGCAAGATGAGATCCAAACAGCGGTTTTTAATGCCTTGCTTTCTCATTCAAACAGTTCTCCCTCAATAAGAGTATAAACCCTACTTCATTTAAAATGCAACTATTAGTAAACTCTCCAGTGGAACAGAACTTTTACTCAAAAACCAATTCCTGTACATGACACGTAGTAATAATTTAGATATTGGATGAGAACCTGAGAGATATTCACTATACAAATAAAATAAAAAATTAAAAATACTAAGGTCAAAACTTACATGTACAAAACCAACAGGACAACTGGATTGATACTGATTTGAGTTGTTCATGTCCTTGCCTGAGCTTGTAACTTCCATTACACATAAAATGAAAATGAAAGATATTTTTATCACTATAGTAGTTACAGGCCATTACTAAAAAGGTTTATTAAAGACCCCTTGTTTTTCACTGGGGTTGAAAGCAATTTTGAAAATTAATTTCTATTTTATTGATGCCTCATTGATTATGAGTGCACTAAGACATTCCAAAGACTCAAGACTTGACTGCATGCAATTTAGGCTGAAACCCAAAGACACTTACAGCCAGACTGGGTTTTAAGAAAGCCAGAAAATTTTTCAGTTCTTAAAGACTTTTAAAAGAAGATAATTTGTTGAGATATCATTGAAAAGAAGATACTATGCATAACACAGGAAAAAAGCATAAGACCAACATTTTTAAGAAAACCAACATCTGATAGCTATAAATTGTCATTAAAAAAAAAAAGATAATAAAGAAAGATTTCTTCCCTGCAAACACTATCAGAAAAGAAGAATTGCAGTCAAAAAGCAGAGGGAAAAGATCATACCACTCCATCAATAAAGCCTAACAAAATTATTTGACAATGAGTGGAAACACTGGTAGGTATCAGATCCATCAAGGATAATAAATTGAGGATATCTAATTCCCAGATACAGCCAGTCAACGGTGAGGCTTCACACTGTAGAAAAATCCTTTTTTCATTTTCTCTTGGCTCATACAATACACTTGACAGATGGAGCAGCACATGGATCTCTTCTATGCAAGTTGCTGAAACAAGGACATGACACAGATCATGATTTGATTTCAGACTGTGACACCTCAGCACAGTATAAGTTTGAAATGCAGTAAGATATCTGCCTTACAAAACCAACCAACACATAGCATAAACTGCTCATGATCTACACTTGTGGGGAAAAAGAAATCAATAGCTTACAGAATAGCTCTGACTAAATCCCATAATCTGGCATTGCCTTAAAATTAGCTTAATTTAAATTTTTCAGAGGATGAATTCCCTCAGGTTTGAGAACAGACAACTAGTTAAAATCTAGGCAATTCTATTGATTTGAGAGTGAGAATAGAGAATAGTAAAAGAGAGTAGAGAATTTGGCTCAGAAATTGAAGGGCAGGGCAGAGAGGAGAAAACCTTCTTTTCTAATTAAAAATGCATGGTTTTCCACTTTCCTACACTCCAGGTGTTCCCTGAAGGTAATGTTTTTATTCACTTATTAACAATGTGGGTGGATTTTAACACAAAAGCATAAATTCAGTTAGATAGAAATCTGTCCAAAACAGATAAAGTTTCATATTTTATAAAATTTCTGTTTTGTTTTTTTTTTTTTCCACTTCCCAAGCATGAGTTAACTAACTCTCAGAACATCTAAGCTCAACACAATCTCCATTCACCTGACAGAGAAATCACCACAGGAAGAAGGACTGGAAATACACTGGACCAAGTGGTATTGGAAATAAGAAAGCCTTCCTTTTAATTCTGAGTTAATACAGTAATTAGCACTAGGAGGATGTGAAATGCTGCACAGAAACTTGCTTGCACTCAGTATTGATAAACCTGAAGCAGTTTATGTCTGTCAATTTTTTAGGCTTATAGCCCAGAGGAAAGTTCACTTTAGTGAAGAAAAAATTTTAAACACTTTGGGAACACAGGTTTCACCCCAGTACAACAAGAACTGAGGGAAAGAGAAGCAAAAGAGTATAGACTTACATCTGTTAATAACTGTAGGTCCCAATTATGAGAAAGACTGAGTCATCTTGTGTATTTATCTCCTTTCGGATCCTTGGTTCTTTGGACACCACGACTAAATGGCAGCGCATAAATGGTAACAGACTTTAGAAGATCTGAACCTCTGCCGTGAATTTGTTTTTCCTTTTTCCTTTGACTAAATTTAGAGTATAACGTTTACTTTCTTATCTAAGGACACCACAGAGAGTAGTCTAAATTTCCAGATCGGGACTTTCTATTTAGACAGCTTTGCAGAAGTGTGGACTTGAATACAAAGCTAGAGGTGCAGAATAACTTGAAACCCAGGGAAAACTCTTGCATAACTCTAACATAGTTTGTTCAGTTATTTTAGGAGAAAATACTGTTCATCATTTTAGGAGAACAAAAGAAAAAAAAAAGAATCTTTTTCACATGTAATATTTGTGTAATTTTTTTCCCACTAAATGATTTGAAAGTAATTCTTCAAGATACATACCAGCATTTGAGCTATAAACTTCAGGCTATCAGCTATTTTGTTTATGTAACTGTGTGCCTATAAATTATTTAGGTAGCCTACAGAGGCGTCTGAAAAGGGTAAGATCTCTGATTGACACTTCCTTCTGTTTTCAATGCAAGGTGATGTGCATGAACAACAAAAAAAAATCTACTGTTTCTGTCTGTGCATGAGCAATTCTTGGAAATGCTTACGATGTGGGAGTTTCAAGAGCACTGAAAGCTGACTTGATCCAATATTGGCTCAATGGGGATTTCATTATTGATATAAATAAAACCACAGCGTTTTTTGGAAGTCCTTGCTCTATGCAGCATCAGGCATTCACCTTCCAGTGACCTCCTCACATATACAAGTCACATACTCAGATAAAATGGCTTTTGGATACGGAGAGGTCTGTTTTGTAAAAGGCCAAACCATGCAGCGTGGCCAAACGACACACTAAAGGACATCATTTCCAGGCATTTCCATGCTCATTGCAATTTTCAGTACAAAGTCCAGGCCTTTAAAGCTAGTCAGCCCATGATCTGCAGGATCAAAATCCACGCTTGAAGAGCCCTCACAGAACAAAGAAATACCCCTCTGCATAAAGGAGACATCAAGCAGTCAGAGCTGCAGCTACAATACCTTTTTTCACTGTCAGTGCAGCACACTCTGTATCAGCTGCTCGACCTCTACAGCTCAAGAGGCAGCAATCAACTCATGAGTCCGCAGGAGTCCTGCCAGACTACTCCAAAACAGCATCTTCCTGAAAACTGGACATCTTCTGTAGGTTTTGCTCTGCATACTAAATGCTCTGGGTACCCAAAAGGAAAACTTGCGCTCCTGAAGAGGGACTGTTTGCTTTCAGCGCATGTACGGATTATAAAAAAAAAAAAAGTGTTCAAGCATTTTCTACAAAAATACATGCACAGAAGAAAAAGAAATTGTGATTACGGCACTTCTTCAGGACAGCAAGATCCTGGTTGGAGACATCTGAGTAGAGACTCAAATCTGGGTCTCAGTACTCCAGATTATGCTGTTCTAATCAAAAGTGCTTTTCCTCTGCGCATTTATTTTCAGTGAAATTTTTTCCTTTCCTATCAAGATAATCACATAATAACGAAGCTTCCTGCAGAATATGTAAATGCCTTACCTTGTTCATAAGAATTTAGCTTAAAATATATTGTGCATCTGTAATTGCTCCCTTCCAATAAACAGAAAATGATGCAACTCATCTTTGCTATGGGCCCCATCTGAGCAAAACAATTCATTGAATATACAATTAGAAATCAGCAGGAACCATCCAAAAGGTACTTTAGTGTTTTATTGAACACCAGCTTATTCATAAACCCAGAGATCAATTACTGCTGGTGCTGCTTTCATAAACTCACTCTGGATTCACTCACAGTAGTTAAATCCAGTCTAAAAGAAAAAAAAAGGGGGGTTAAACTGGAAGGTGAAGGCATCAAATATATTCCAGGTGGTCTGAGTGCTAAAGGTTCACTTGCCTTGGAGGGTTCCAAATAGGATAAACATTCAGCTCAGCAGAAAGCTGACCCACTCCACAGCAGCAGGGACTACTCATACATTAATTTAAGATGCAGTTTTAATAGGCTCTTCTGAGACTTGCCAGGGATTTAAAGTGTTTCAGTGCAAGGATCAGGTTGGTCTCCAACGGGATGAGCTGCCATCATTTCCACTAAGGCCAGCACTTCTGACTGTGGAGCAGGAGAGGGCTAAACACACCATGGGTAATTATCTGGGATCTGGTCTGCAATCCAGGAGCTGGTCACTGAACTGCATCCCCTGGTCCTGAGCCCCGGTCAGGGCAGCACCGGTGGGTCCTGGGCAAAGCCACAGCAGAGTGGTCACAGCCAAACAAACCACTACCAGGGAAAAGGCTCAAACTTCTGCTCTGCCCTGCACAGCTTAACCCTACAGACACAGCTGGAGTATTTTCACAGTCCTGCAGAGACCTCAAAATGGTCAGAAAAATCCTGAATCTGGTGGTGCCTGTCTCTCCTGATTGTTGAGAACCTACCCAACCATTTTCAATTAGCAGCACTTCTTTTTCTTTTTTTTTTTCTTTTTAGTAACAGCTGAGAAGACAGAGGGTGATTCATTTTAAAGTATATGCATTAAGCTGAAGAAGCTGAATACACTAGGGCTCAACCTGCTGTAATAAAAACTGATGAAAATGAATAACCAGGGAGGAATGAGTAGCTGTTTAAGTTCTCATTGCTGCCAAAGAAATATCAGCTAGGGAGGACAGGTTAAGCCTCCTGTGGGGTATTTGCATTACACTTAGGAAAATGAGTTTGCTAATATTCAACAAAGAGACCACTAAGTCTTTTACTAATTGTTCTGTTAAAAAACTACAAAAAGTCAAATATATGATAGATTCCAAGAGACAGAATATGGGAATTCAAGGAAATAGATGTTATTTTACAACCACCACTTTGAAAAATGCATCCTTTGTCCATCCTCTTTCTCTTCTCCAATGATGGAATTACCAATAACTAAAAGAAATAGTATTCCATTTGAAGCTAAGTGTTGTTGGATTTACCAACACTTTAGAAGAAAAGATGGTTCAAATGACAAAGTGTATTAGCTACCTTACGGTTGACTTTTTTAAATCCCAGTTCTATCTCCAAGGTGAATGGTCATCAGGAAGAATAGAGCAGAGATCCTTCAGGAAAATGTCTTGAGGCAAAACACAAGTCCAGATGATTCCAGAAGGAAATCTGATGGAACCACGTGACAATAGGAGCAAGTCCCATTAGGAAGGTCACAGCACACCAGGACAGTCACAGCACTAAGAACTTCCCTCAAACAGCCATGGAGATGGGGAATAGGCATTTCTGGACAATGAATTTTGCTAACTTGGAAGTATCAGCAAATGGAAACTTCACCATACCATTTCATTAAAAACACAGTGACTAAAGATAATAGCTGGTTAGTCCATTTAATATATGTGTTTAGGGAGAGAGGCAGGAGAGTAGGGAAAGACAGATTCTTCATCATCATTCTTTGTTCCACTGTATTTCCTCTTCTGTTTAATCAGCTTCCCCTCCTCATTGCATTTTGCTTTGCTGCCATTCTGCAGAAAAGCATCAGTAAGCCCCAGGGAGTCCCTTTTTCACAGACACTGCCAGATGAAAATGTCCTACAGTTGCTAAGCACTGAGGATCTTCATAAAGAACTGATACACTCCAATTTCTTTCACCACTAATTTGATCCTCCTTTTTTTTCTGTCAGCATCCAACTCTTCAAGAACTACCTGTCCTTCATATAACCTGGACTTCTTCCTATACTTACTAAACCATCAAGCTGAAGAAGTCAGAGCAGGCAGCAAATGGCGAGACACCATTCACCTCCTCCAATATCCTCACTTCTAGATCAAAAGTTTCCTCACTCCTTATTAATTGCAGGCAAGGGTGAGCCAGATCTTAAGCTAGTTTTCTTGAAGATGTATAAAGGAAGGGTTTTACATAACTACCACAGTCCAGGACATGGAGTTTAAAAAAGCAGATGCTTTACTTAGTTTCAGCTCTCACTGAGGTGCTAACTCAGCAGTGTATCTTACAACATCATTCTGAGGAAACTAACAAAAAGACAAAAGCAGTCAAGTCAAAAAAACAGCCAATATTTCTATATTCTATAAAACTTAAGCTGTAACAAAGGCTTAGTCCTATGTCTTTAGTAGCTGGTTCACCCCAAACTTGGTCCCTTCACTTCAGCAAAAATACGATGTTCATGAACAGGAGTCCTTAGCACTGTAGCAAGGTTTGTGGCAAAATTATAGATTTTTTATTCTCATGAACACATGCACATTTTCTCTATGATTTAATTTGCTGGTTTCTGTTTGCTTGTCTGTTTCAGAAGGAGATCCAAAGGCTTCATAATAAACAAGAAGGAAAAGTTTTACATAGTTTTGTTGCAAGTTCAAAAACTGATCTTGATTTACTCAAAAACATACACAGCCCCAAAAATATTGCATCTAGAGCAATTTCAGTACCAGCTATCTTCCATGTACAGCTCTTATAAAGGTATTTAATTTATTCTACTCATAAATGTGAGGCAATGCTTCCTATGCAGGTGGAGCAAAGACTCTAGCACTTCTGTCTCTTGTCAGCTCTATGACAAAATTAATATGTAGGAACATTAGCAAATCACTTGGCCAGTCTGAATTAGTTTTTATTGAAGATGAATTGCAGTAGCTTTCAACCTGGCAAACATTTGTGCAGCTTTAGCTACACTATCAGAGAAATTCGGGGACTGACAGCGGAAACAGAGACACTAAAGTAGAGAATTTCACTAACAAAGTGAACATTAAGATTCCAATTTACTTCAAAGAAAATACAGCAACACAAGCAGTAAGATTTGATTAAGGACACTGCCATCAATAGACTGGAATCAACTGACAGGTAAATGCTGGATGGATACAATCCCTCGCACCAAAGTTTGCCATGACTGTGAGATGTTGATTCCTCATGGTTCACACTTAACAGTTATCCTCCTGGATTTGCTTGTGCCTATCCTTAAACAGAACCATGGTCCTATTCCATGGCGTGACCTCCCTCTTGAAGGCGGCCACATCTTTACACTCCTGCATGCAATGCCATATTTCACATCAATGATCCCACACATGGATTGCCCTCCTCCTAGATTTAGGCAAGACAAGCCTCACACCCGGCATGAATGGAGCATATTTGCTTCAGCATTTCTGTCAGGTAGTAGCCACTCATGTTCACAGCTGCTTGGTTTTGTCTTTTTTGGCTGCTCTTGCCATGAAAGACTTGCAGTGCTCTCCTGCATCCCTTTTTATTCGCTGGGCAAAAGCCTGATTGCTGCCAGTGTTTCCACAGACTGACAAGTCAGCCAGCTAAAGCAGATTTTGCTCTCTCAATAGGGGCATTTATTTATCTTATTTCCTCAACTTCCAGTTTCTGGAAGTAATAGAAAAATATATACCCTTGAATCCTTTACTTCCTCATCAAAGGTGGTTGCCTTTGTAAGATGCAGTTATATTCACTATACATACATGTGAATAGAACCAGAATTATCAATTTCTCCAACAGCAGTCACACATCACACACACCCTGGGTCTCTCCTGTTCCCATAATTTCTAGGAAGCTATCTCCTTGCAAACATCAGGACTGCAGACAGGGACTCACAAAGACCACAGTCTACAGATTCAGTCTTACAGAATTGTGGAATATAACATCTTCAGATACCCAGGACACTGGTTCATCATGAACAAGCCAGATATTATGAAACATTGGACAGAATTTTCCTAAAAGAATACATGTTTTTCCCTTGTTCTTCTAATCCAATTATTTTCTCAAGGCATGGAAAAAAGGATTACCAAAAGGCTGGAGAATTGGCAGAGAGTTTCAGAACTGAATTCCTAAGTATTGATAAAAATACCAAAAAATGACCAGCAAAGAGGCAGTTCCCCCCTACTCTACTCGTTCCCTGCCACCTCTGAGGAATGCTGGCATCCTGCTGAAGTGCCATTTTAGCACACCATATTTCAACAGTTGTTCTCACAGATCATCTCATCTATAAAGCAATAAAAAGTGCAAAACTTGATGTGTACAATAAAAACCATACAGGCACCTCTTCTTCTCCAAGAAAGGCAGCTCAGTAAAATTCTGCCATAACAAGCAGTAAGGAAAATAATTTACTTTCAAATCCTTCTTCACCAAGTACCCACATCAAAGATAAAACAAACATAACAAAAGGGAATGAATTATCAAGTGATGTTCCATCAGTGCTTTGACTGTACTTTTAACAAAAACATGGACAAAGATAACATGGGCTATAAAGGTACATTCAGATTTTATCAGAACAATATCTAGAACACTATTTAATCTAAATCTCCACGTTACCCTTTAGCATTGCCCTGTAATCCTATGAAACAGTGCCCGTTTTATGCTTGGAATATCCATATTCCAATTTTATTATGAAACATAGCTTTAAAAAGCAAAACATGATTTTTTTTCCCCCCAGTCTCCTATATCGATAGTCAAATTATTCATATTTAAAGAAGAGCCATGGATTTTGTCTTTTTTTTTTTTTTTTAATTATGTCTATATAACTTGCAGCTGGTAGTCTACAAGGAGAGGCATTATCAACATATGACAGGACATATGCCCCAAAATACTGGCACTTTGGAGCTAAAACAGCACAGTAAGCTGTTGGGGAAACCTGATGAGGTTTGTTGTTTCAACACCTTGACTAGATTTTCAGCTACTAACGATGGAGGGATAAGAAAGAGAACACTGATCTGGATTTTTTTAAGTTAATGGTGATAACACCTTGCAGCTGAAATTGCACCATGGACTGAGCTGGTATTCTCTTCTTGTCCTACAGGGCTAAACAAAAGCAAACAAACAAAAAGATTTCTCATTTACATGGCGATCACAGGACCATCTGCTGCCCAAGTAACAACCCAAAATAAAACAGTCCTTCAGGCGCTGTGCAGGCTGGAGCAGCGTGTGTGCACTGCGCACACTGACATAATTCACCCACTGCGACGAGAGAGGCTGACTTATGTAAGGGCAGGCCATCCTCTTTTTCTCCTTTTTTCTTGCTAGCTATGCAGCTTTTCAGTGCTCCCAAAGGCTGTTTTATTTTTCAGACTCTCTTTAACCAGAGACAATCTTGCGCGAAAAGTACAAGTCTTTAAGGCTAACGTAACAATCCGAGCAGAAGAGCTGGTCACACACAGAGAAATGATTTTCAAAGCTTCGACTCATTTTAAATGACACTTACATTCATTTCTGCAATTTTCCTGCTGTAAGCAAATGAAGAACCTCATTCTGCATTCCACTGAACCCCTCAAATCCCCTCGACAGTCAATAAACACCTGGAGTGCAAATGAATACAGAATTAATCCCTAAGGCTGGACAGTAAAACAGGTCAGGAACCATCCCTACTACAAAAGTCAGTGTGGAAATCTTGCAGCAGGTCATCTGAAACCAGGCTGCACTTCACTACTGGTTTTGTAACACATCTTATTTTCAGACCAATTTGCCTTATCCAGCTCTTGCCCACAGTACAACATTAGCACAGCTGTAAGTGCAATGAACTAAACTATCCTGATAAAACCTACAACAAGTAGGTCTATCCATGCCCACTAGCAGGGCATTCCTAGGACATTCTTCTCACTAGATTCTTAGCACTTTCACTCTCCCAAGAGTCTTCAGAGGAGCCGATGGTCCTCAGCTCTTGGAGCTTTTAAGCCTTTCCTTTTCCTTCCATTGGGAAAACAAAAAAAAAAAAAAAAAAAAAAAGGACAAAAAAGGGAAAAGAAACAAAGAAAGTCAACAACACACACATGCTCTCCTACACACACACACGCACACACACAAACAGAGGGGGGAAAAAAAGGAAAAAGGTAAGTTAAACAGGGTGCCGATCTGGAATGAAATGGATTTTTGAACAGACAGTCATATTTGGCACTGTCAGCAAAAGCTTGTGAGTGGCCCTGTGTCTCCCCGAGCCTTAATGCCCTTTTTACATCGGTCATTTAAAAACGTCCCCGGAAAGTTCAGCTGTGCTACTTCTGACATCGTTTTCACACTGCTGCTGAATGGACTCAATGGAAAGACACACTTCGTCCCATCCCAGTTCCATAAAGCACTAAACATTAAGGACATATTCCATTTGGCCTTCAAGTAACATTTTTATGGTCCATGCAGATCCACAATTACTTTCCCTTTAAAAACAATCAACATAAGTCAGAACTCTCTGTTGGAGAGCACAGAAATTAAAAACTACTGGATCTTCCAAACCGACTCCTACAATCCTCAGGCAGAAGGCTGGATTAAAGGGTCCTCACATGGTTCTAGCTGCATTCTCAGTACACCACTTTTATGAAGAAACCAAAGCTGTAGAAATTCCTCCGGCATGGCGTGGAATCCAGAATCAGGCAAGACATTGTCATAGTAATGATGGCTAATAAACCTCCCGTGCAGGTCCACCGAGAACGGCCAGAAGCCATAAATTGTTACTTCTTCACACAGACCAAGGGCGGCACTGACTAGGAAGAGTCCCGTGGAAAGCCGTTTGCCATGGATACCTTTGCTCTTCCAGAACTTGCCAATGTCACGCAGGAAATTGGGGTTGGCAAAAAGAACTGTCTGCTTGGCACCGAAGTCCGCCAGGGTGTAATAGACACGTAGGGAGGGTCCCGTCCCTGTCTTCATGGAGAAGGCTGGCATGTAGATGTAGCTGTGGTTATACACCTTCACGCTGTCCACAAACGCCTTTCGAGACCACAGCAGATTCTGGAACCTGTAAAACCACAGGGAAAAAGGAGTTGGTCATACATAGGTTTCCCTAATCGTCTCATAACCCACCTAAGAACAGCTCTTCATATGCATATTTACAATTAACCGCACACTTTTTCCGAGCCCAGAGAAAGTCCAGGCAAACTTCTGACTGACTGACACTGCCCTACTTCTGAGAACAGAAACCTGAATAGACAGCTGGAAACTATCTAACTCCTGCTGGTTCCAAAACCTTTCTGATTTCATCTTTTTAAAAAACTCTAAATGAACACTGGTAACATTCTAGAAAACTCGATCCTTTTTAGCGACATTTTTCCTTTGTCCAAAAACCAACTTAGATTTTGAGGCACAGGAATTTTTTTAAAAGAAATTTTAAAGTCTGTGTTGTTCTTGTTTCTGAAAGACATACTAACAAAGAACCCAAGTTATAAGCTGGACAAGCAATATTTAAATAGAAACTTTGGACTTACAAACCTTGTAAGACTTGTCAGAATTGCTTTTACTATGCCTTTATAGAGATTTAGATTGTGCTACCATAGTAGTAAATTCTTGTTCTGGAACTGAGAGAAATCTCATAGAACATACTTAGTTACAAACAATAAAACAAATCAGTGAATTAGGGTAAGTGGCAGGCACCATGAAAATTTAGCACAAGGCTCCAAATAATATTCAGAGCTGGTGTTTAAGATGGCACAATTTACACACTGAGTAGATTTAAAAGTATGTGGTATTTGTAGCGTGCAAGTTACAGGAGAGACTTGTTGACAACCATGACAAGGGCAATGAATATGCACAGATTATTTCTCTGATATGATAATCATCTCATCTCTTGTTATAAAATCTACAGCAGGTTACAATTTGTTAAATTGCCAATAGCTATTTGCTGATGTCTATTTTATCCCTGATATGTTAGACTTACATACTATTCCACAACCAGTATCCTGTCAAAACTATAGCCTTTCCTTGCCATATGCTTCTGGATATGCCAAGACTGAATGAGAAATATGGCAGGAAATCCTAGGCCATTCACACACACCAAAACCTGCACCAATATTTGAGCTGTTCTGATGTCTTATACCAATGAAATCACATTTCAGAAAAATACTGAAGTATTCCAAATATGTATCACTGAATGTAGCTGGTAGGAAGGTCAGAGTCATGGTAAAACACAATACTTAAAGCACAAAATTTCTAAGTAGCAGAAACACTTGCTGTTCTGGAGTTGACTGCATTCATGGGTACCTTTGCATAAGAAAGTCACTATGATACACTCTTGATACTCTACTTGCTTTCTAGAGTCCAGACAGTCTTAAGAGCACCAGTACCCCACCTTTACCACTTGACAGTGTCTGTAGCCTTCAGCATGCAGGTAAAGCTTACTGCACTGAAAGCCACTTCTGCACAAGCCTCACACACTCCTACCCTGCAGTTGGGTTGTTCCCCAGCATGTGATCCCTAGTTCTTTTCTCAGCTCCCAAATGCCCATCTTGCTGTTGTTGCTGCCCCCTCTCTCCATGTCCTGCAGCTAAGGCAAACGTGTCATGATTGATTTCTCACACCACAGGAGTCAGAACAAAAAAGTTAAGTCAGCAGCACTGGATTTCTTTTCCTTTCTCTAGTATTGGCAGAGAGATAGGTATAAGAATACCTTTTTAAATTGTTATGAAGGTATCAATTTTATGTATAGAGTTCTTGGAAACAAAAACAAGAATTGCACACACAGCAACATACACAGGTTTAAGTAGAATGCCAGATGACCTCAAGAAGCATCAAACAAAATTTCATCTGAAACAATTGCCAACAAGAAACCTAACAGCTTCAGCAGCATTGATATGACTCATACACACCAGGTTTTTTGAAGTCTTTGTTTTGGCAAAAAAACTTAGTAAGTAGAAAGTCAACATTTCCAACATACAGTATTTTGTCTCCTGGTTTGCTACAAGCTTCTTGCAAAATTTCCTTCACGTGGAATTAGAATGAAGCTGTGTTGAAGGAACCCCCCTGAAATCTGCCTGGGTCTTCACTGCCTTTTTGCTCTGCAGATCTGCTCCTACTGCATGGTGCTGCTTGCCACTGGCTTCCAAGTGAGAAATCAAATCAACACAAATGTACAAAACAAAACAATAATTTCATAACTTATTGCATTTGGCATTCTTTTCTGTAGAAACAGCCAAGACACAGCTGAGTTTAGAAGGCCAGCCAAGACCAGGGTGCCCTGGCAGAAATTCATTGTCTGGCTGTACCTTCTCACATGGGCCCTCTCACTCCATTACTATCAGACCTATAACTAAGCATTCCCCAAAATAAGCTTTGCCATCCTCTTCCCAATAAGCAGCAAGACAACCTGACAGATTATCAGGACAGGACTTGGATCCATCCTATCAAGCTTCTTCCATTTCCATCAGTACACAGTCACTGAGTGCAAAAAAAAAAAAAAATCCCAAGGTTAATACTTTCAATGTTCATAAAATCACACAATGGTTTGGGTTGGAAGGGACATTAAAGATCACCTAGTTCCAATCTCCCTGCCGTGGGCAGGGACACCTTCCATTAGACCAGGTTGCTCAATGCCCCATCCAACTTGACCTTGATGAGCACTTTGTGCTCAGAGCCCCACTACCCAAATGTTGTTCTAATAACCCTAATCACTTTTAAAAGGTAATAAGATCAGCATCAGGCTTTCAGACTATTGACCTCATCAGAATTTGGCAAGAAGTGAGCATTGCAGGCTCAAAATTCCTTTCACAGTAAAGAGATCTTGAGCTCACAGCTTGATGCGATGGGGTCCTTGCACCTTGGCTAAGGAGAAGGCAGAGACAGGTTCACTGTCACTCCTGAAGTCAGTTGCAAGACATCCTTTCCCTCTTAAAGCTAGTCCACAAATTTCACTCCAGAGGGCAAATAGTTGCGGTTATTCTAAAACTGCATTTTCCAGCAAATTTACCATTCATAGAAAAGCAGTGTGCAGCTCTGAGTTGAACACATTAAAATTGCTCAGTCTCAGAGGGCCAGAGACTCTCTCTGAATATTCATTTGCTATCATTGCCACAACATGTTTACAATTCTTCTAGATGAATCTCCCCAAATGCCTTAAAGTAATGAGAGGTGAACAGCACTGCCATGAGAGTGGTGCATGGGAGGGACTCCACACAGAAGGGACAGCATTTGTCATGTTACTGCAAACTGTCCTTCAGAAACATCATCACCTCCTGGAAACCCATGCCTCATTCAAATGATCTGGATCGCAGTGTTGGTAGGCATCCCAGTTCAACAGATGGACATTATACAGGTGGCCAGGAGCCCGTGCAGAAACATAAAACATGATGATTATGGCTGGTCTGATGGTCTAACAGCCAAAAAGCTGCTGCCCATCTTGCACTCCTCGTGAGCAGAGATATCAGAAGCAAATGAAAATTTCTGTTCCCCGTTTGTAAAAACAGCAGCGCTCTCCAGCTTTCTGACACTTCCCAGGATGGTTGGAGGCTGAGAAATCTGGGGACAAATGCTGTGTGTAATCAAGTTTCTAGAGATGGTGTTGGAAGTTCAAGTGTATTTTCCTGTAACTCCCAATCCAGACAGGGAGTCCTCCAGGCAACTCCATCCAGGGTACCACACCACATCTGTCCCAGCAGACAGTGAGCAGGCTACTCCATGCCTGACAGAGAGACCAGGAGGGCTCTTCCCCTGCAGCTGACCAGCTCTGTAGTGCATGCCTGAGCAAGATGATATGTTTTTTCTCCTGCTTGTCCTGTCATGAACCAGAACAAGCAATGAATCCACCAGCCTGATGCAGTCCTTGCATCCATACGGATGCACAAATGCCCTCCCTTGTGTCGATCCTCACCCAGAATGAGGAGCTGCTGGTTCCTAGTTAGTGCATGTCTCTACCCAACAAGCTGTGAACATTCAGTACTCTCAGGGCACAGCCCAGCAGCTGTGCAGCTCCTACACACACACACACACAGACAGAGCTCAAAAGAAATGCATCAAATACTCCAGCCCCTCATAGAAGAGTGCATCTCAGGCGATGCTGTCTACCCAGCACAGCTCTGAGCAAGAAACAGCTGAACGGCTTTCAGGGTCCTCCCCTGACCTTCCGCAGTCAAGCTCGCACAAACGCATGGCAGGTTGCCAGCATTTTGATAAAACTGGAGCTGGAATCTCCCAAGCCCTGAGCAGCACCTGAAGACTCCAAGGACTGCACAAGTTGCTCAAGTGATTTGCAGTAATGTGTCCCGGCAGCTTGACGGCAGCCCAGAGAGGCGCCGACAACGGTGAACGCTGGGGAATCACGACAGCTTCAGCCCAGGCACTTTCTTTACACTGCACTCATTAGTGGACAGTGAACAAGTAAAATCATCAGCAACACATTTTTTCTGTCAGGTCCATATGAAAGATCAACTTAAACCCCACAACTTTCAACAGCGTGTGTAGGCGCAGCCACGCAGATATCAGAGAAATAATTTCCCTGCTACCAGCTGTAGAGTTCTGTTGAATACGCTGCTCTACTTTTCCAGGGAGAAAAAGTCATCCAAGAGAAAACTGCCACAGTACATTGTCGCGACAGTATGATCAAAGATTAAGAGCATTAAGTGTTTTGGGTTTTGTTTTTAATCTGTTTTTACTGTCCTTATTGATGTTCTTTAGCAGATATTCAGGGACAGGACTACTCTCTGGTACGGAGAGACCACTTCCAGTAACCACACAGAATTTGCTGCAGTGACATTGAGCTAACCCACTTGCAGATAATTATGGCAGCATTTTCTTGCATCTTGGTTTCTTTTTGATCTCCCCAGAGAGTCACTATCTCATGCCTATGATGATATCCCAGGCACTTACTGTGTTGGCATCTGCAAAGTCACAAATTCAGCATTCTGGATTAATTGCGAGTTGACTTATCGGAGGGAAAAAATAAAATTAAGTAATGAGGGGAACAGCTCAGATGCCAAATAAAATGTGTATTATTTTAAAATTAAGACATACAGAGCTCAAGGGAATAGAGCA